CAGGCTAAAAACTGCACCTGAGTCATACTGTATTAGCAACCCATAGTAGAGTACCTCATTCATAATGGGTGTTTAATAAATACACGTGAAATGAATAAACTTCATATTCATCTTTGTATCTTCTCAGTTTTCATATGTGCCTTGAACACTGCAAGAACCAGATGAAAGTCTATTAAATGAACAAATTAGTGGACAGACTCGCTTTTGTAAATGATCAGTTATAACAGTCCAAGTCTTGAACCAAACCAACTGCTTCGATGAAAAAAGTAATATGGCAAGGCATCTCAGAGACCCTACACTGGAACTCTCTCCCTCTTCAGGCTCTGCCTTTGGTCCCCCTTGAACCAACCCCAGTCCTGACAAGGGAGAAATTGCCTAGCATAGCACCCGTTCAGAGACGAATAACAATTTTGCCTTGGGGAGCCTGGGTGGCTCAGTGATTGAGGGTCTGATCTGATCCCAGGGTCCTGGATTGAGTCCCCCATCAGGCTCCTTGCAGGGAGCCTGCTTCTCCCTCTGCCTCTCTCTGTCTCTCATGAATAAATAAATAAAATCTTAAAAAACACACAATTTTGCCTTAATTCAAAGCCTGGGGGCTTCCTGGTTTCTCTTTTGGGTTGAGTGAGAGGAATCAGAGCATAATATAAACTTTAGTGATTTACAGCTCCAAAGATCTCCAACAGGAGTACTTTGCCAAACTGTTCCCAGCAATCCAAGTTCAATCAGAATGTGAATAAAATACACTTTGAGAAATTAAATAAAAAAGAAAACAAACATGAATTGATAATTTTACTGAATTAAATAAATAATAAGAAATGAAACAGACCAAGCTAAAGCACAGTCACTAGCTGCTTCTAAATAGAAGCTAGAGAGCCCGTGGCTCACACTGAGGGGCCTCAGCCTGTGCACTCCCGCAGGTGAACCAGAGGAAAGTGCTGCACACAGGGCATTTTACAAATAATCGGGAATCAAATGCACACTGTTGATGCACCGAGGTTTGCAGTGAGCATCCTCTGCCATCACAGCAACCCTACCATTTCCTGAAACAAGAGAGAGATGGCTTCGGTCAGAGTTAACACCTACTGGCATCTGTGAGCAGCCACCATTGTATCTGGGGCTACAGAGAGAAATCCAGTGCTCCCCTTCTCCTGCCTTGTTCCTAAGATGTGCTCTCTTTCCTCCTCATCTACTTTCCTGGCCCATGATGCTTCTCTCAACTAATCTTCCTTTTTTTTTTTTTTTAATTCTCATGTTCTTTTGTCCTCCTATACCTAAGAGCCAATAATGATACTCACTCATACTGTAAGCATTGCTAAGATGAATTTTCCAGATCACTGAAGCTTACCCCTTTAAAAGCTAAAATGTGTTTTTAAATTACTTTAACCATTTTAACTCAGGGTTTTGAAAATGGGCCATTTGTTCTCCCTACCTCTTAACAGGGTGCATACCATAGCACTTGACACTTTCTTGACGACATAGGCTTGTCAATCTAAGCATCCTCTCAGGTACTTCTGAGAAATAGAGAACTCTCTTCCCTGTACACGTTTCCTATCTCATGCTTATAGGTCTAGATCTCTTCTGTGGGTAACAGCTTTACTTTTCATCCTCATCCTTGTTTCTCACTCCTGCCTTCCTCTCCTATTCCCTCATCTACTGTGGGGTGGGGAGCCAGGCAGGCCGACTTGCAGCGAGAATGTGTCAGATAGGATTTTACTGACATAACAACATTCACTGGTCTTTTAATAAGGGCCTGGGGCCCACCCTCTGAGGAAAGTTCACTGGATTTATGACAGCTGTTTACAGAACTGGGAGACCCTTTTTTTCCCTTACTTGTGGGTTTGGGACCACAAAGGAGTGCCGAGTAAAGATAAATAAGTACGTGGGAGCTCGCCCCCCGACAGCAGGGTGTCACTGTCCTTTGTATTCACATAGAAATATTGTTTTCCTGAACAGTTTGTGTGCCGTTTCAGGCTGCCCTGTACCCTTGTGATCTTATCATCATTCCTCATTTAAACTTCAGATAAAAAAATGAGACAGAAAAAGGCAAAATGTTGACTTTGGCAAGTGAGATCATCATGTGAAGCAGCTTTCTTGTATGTCCCCCTGTCCCTTCTGGGCCTGCAACTCTGGACACTCGCTGCCCCCGCTGCCCCTGAGCCGAGTGACTCACCATCATCACAGGCCCATCACGTCCTTCTCCCCTCTCAGACACCACGAACGACAGCACCTTTTCAGCCTCTTTAGAGTGGAACCTTGCCATCATCAGTGGCTCCTTCCTCAGTTTCCCCTTTCAAACCAGGCCATTTTCAGATGCTGGTGCACAGGTTTTATCCCACCTCCAAGATGCATTTTAGCTGCTTCTCGCTCACGTCTGTTAAAACTTGAATTCATGTTTTCCAAACATCCCTCTCACCTCCCTCTACCCAAATCCCTCCCAAATAAGAGTGCCCTACTCTCCCACTGCTGGGTTCTCAGTCTCCACTTCTGGAACGCTGTCGTTGGTTAACTCTCAAAATACTTCTTGCTTTCATGTGAATGCTATATTTTCACCTTTGGTTCTTTTTATGGCACTTCTTACCACCCACCTCCTCCTGTTCAGCCTTTACGTTAGCACTTTCCAGTTTTATATGTTCCATACTGCTCTGCTGATAGAATTAAAGAAACATGTTGCAATTCTTTCTTCCCCTCTGTCTACTCCCTGAGTCCTTTCCCTGATCACATCTTAATGTCTTCAACTACCTCTCAAGAAATTGGCATTTCTGAATGCCTCCCAAGTCATTTTTCCCATCTAACTTACTCTACTCTTTGCCCTTTGATATATCTTCCCAAACCTCTAAAAACATAATCCCTGGATTTTCTCTTGTGGTTGTTCCCCACATCCTCCTGCCCCCTCTTCCTCCCTCCAATTGTAACTGTCAACAATAGCAGGATTGAACTTCTGAACATTTTCTATGGCACCATGAAATGAGTTAAACAAATCTCATTCCCCAAGCCATGTAACTCCTTAGTGTCCTCTCACCAGTCCATCTACCCACACTCCCACAGCTTTTCAATTTGGCCAGTAGAATCCCCCTTTCATGGTCAAGAAACTCTTTTCTGTCTTGAACAGAAGTCAGGAAGACTTCTCTCTGGAAATCTGGGCCTTCCCTAAGAATGCTGCTGGATTCCTGACTCCTGCAGCCCTCTGGAAGGACAGGATTTGTTTCGATCCCTCAGGGTCAGGAGCTGGGGAGGGTTCACAGCCACTCCTCACACCCACTAAAAGACTTACATCTTGCTAACCTCAGGTCAAAGGGCCTCCTCCTTCTTAGCCAGACCTCTGACTAGCCTTCCTCTCCCTGCTCCTCACCTCATGGTCCTGAGGCCAACTCACTTAACACACTGGCTTTCCATGTCCTAGACCCCCTCATTTCTAATATTCTCTCTCACTCGCTTCAGTCACCCACGTTCCGGACCCCGCCTTGGACTCACGCGTCCCCTAGTACTGTTCCTCGCATAACTTCCCACCATTGCTACTTCCTGAGGCCCGACCCAATAAGTCTGCTCCCTCTCTCAGAAAGCATGCCAATCGGCAGTCTGGCCATTTTTCCTAGTTGACTGGCTCATCCCGACTCCTCTTCCTTCCCTGCCCAGCTCAGACTCTGGTGGATCTCGGCAATTGCTCTTTTACTATCACCATTGCCTCCCTACCAGGAAAACTTTGGCTGGGCTTCCTGGCATCAACCTAACTTCCTGGGCAGTCTCCCACTTGCCCTGTTCCTGCTCCCGGGCTATCAAGTTCTAGATCCTTCTTTAGACCTCATGCAGTCTCAACCAAATCTCCTAAGTGCTGGCTCCATTCATCCACTCCTGGTTTGGCCCACTCCATTTCCTTCTTGGCTTCCACTACAAATGAATAAAATTAAAACATTGCATTTCTGTTATGATTTATTAGTTTAAAAAATGCTTGGGGATATTTGTTATTTTATCCACAAGACAACCTTTTGTGGGATGGTAGCTCAAGAATATTACAACCAAAAAAAAAAAAAAACCCAACTCAGTTTCATAAAATAAATAAATAAATAGATAGATAGATAGATAAATAAATAAATAAATAAATAAATAAATAAAATTTAAAAAACCCACTGAGTTTCATAGAAGTTATGTGGCTTACTTAAGCTCTCACAGTCTCCAAAGAATAGACATGATTGGCCATCATAATAATCAGAATATATTTTCTTTCAACCATCTGAGACACCTATGCCATGCCCAGTTATTCAACATGCTAGCTGTGAGGACTGACACAGGGATCAGAAACAGCGATCAAGGGATAATGGCAGAAGTCACCTTGGGATCAGTTTTCTATATATACAGTTGTCCCAGAAGCAAATATTCAGGTGGTAACACTGACTCAGACAGGGAAATGAATCCCATCGTAGAGATGCAGGGAAACTCCATGCCAGCCAAGTTGGTCTCTGCCCTCTGTGTGGGCCCCCACAACCAAAACCCAACAAATGAAAAGGAGTCACAGCGTTGGAAGAGCAACTAAGCTCAGCAATGGCGAATCAAGGTAAAGAGAGCAGTTCAGAATTTACTAAGTGGGGCACTCCCTTCACACATAATTAGTTTGCTTTGAAGAGACTGGTATGTGACATGCTCACTTCTGAACAAAATAAAAACAAAACAGATTGTTCTCCTCCTCATCCTGTGCTATCTAGACATTTACAATGTGATAAAGAGCATAAATACAATCAGGTGCAAATCCCAATGGATATATAGGCTATAGGTAACAGTAATATTGAACAAAGACCCAAATTAAATTTTTGAAAGATTTTTTGGTGAAATATGTATTACAGAGCCAAAAAGATATCTATCCCTCTACAAATATTTCAGCTTCTTAGAAAAAAACTGTTACATACATCTGTATTTGTCCATATCCCTAATAACACCAATGTATTGTCTGCCTTAGTATGGACCTCCCCCCAACAAAAATGCCACTATTTAGCAAAATAATTATTTACCTTATAGAAGATCAAAAAAAGATCATCCAGTTTCCCATGCAAATCACCTGGAGTGCAAATGAAAAATCACTATTCAGTAGGAAACAAGAAAAATGCCCATTTGTGACAGAATTTTTAAACTGAAATACTGCCGTACTGCCAATATAGTCCAAGCATTCTCAGGGCATTGGGGTTTTACCCTGATGGTATTAATTAGACAATTTGTTTTCATAGTTCTCTGTCCCCTTTCCTATGGGGGGCAGTGTCTGATCTTACAATCACCTATTCACTCCTACCATTGCGCAGCGCTGGGCTTACCCCACACCAAGCACTGCATTAAAGGTTTACATGAATAATCCTGTTCTATCCTTACACCTGCCCCATGAGTTGGGTATTATTCTCATCATTCTTAGATAGAAAGGAGGATCAGAGTAGTTAACTGATGCAAAATTACCCACCTACCAAGTATCAGAGCTGGAATTCAAACGCAACTTTATCTCACTCAAAACTCAAGCTCTTAGTGATTATTCTGTATTGTTCACACTATAATCTGTAGGAGATCAGCAAGAGTATCTGTCAGTTGGCATTAAATACCCAGTGCCTCTCATAGTACCTGGTGCATAATAGGTACTCAATAAATACATTTAATTGCTAAATGTACAGCTTTTTAAAGCCATGTATGTAAAGTCCTGTGTTAGAGAATATGCTCCAGCAATAGCATCTAAAATTGAAAAATTGTGAGTTGACATTCTTTTAATGAGACAGTTATAGAAAGTAAAAATCAAAGCATGACTTTATAAAACTCAACTAAGGGAAACCATATGAATATATAAAGCCATTAACTAAAAATTAACAGTGAATATATTAGTCAAAAGCCCTATTTGGATAACTATTTCTAGGTAAAATATCTATCTTTCATAGGCTCTGATCATAAAATTTTATTCTTTGCATCCAACTTGATTACCAAAAGAATGCAATATAGGAATACCTTTCCTTGGTTTGCTTAAAATTCCACAACCAAAATCAACCAAATATATGGAACAGAAGACTGCAATTATAATGAGAACAATAAAATAAAAGTCCTGTATCACCAGCACTTATTTACAAAATGACCATAATATTAAGAGCATATTAATGCTATTATATACTTAAATCTCACTGCTTTCATATGATCGTACTCCAAATCCAAGGAAATAAAAGTGGAAAGACTTCTTACTTAAATTAAATATATATTTTAAATTATTCTATTTTACTAATTTTCTTTAGGGTGACTTGTCTTTCAAAGATTTGAGTAGACAAAATTGTTGCAGCTGGCATGCTAAAAAATGAATTGGTTTCAGTATATTAGGGATTAAGGCTATATAAATATTTTTAACTTCTATTGGACAGTAACAGATAAAACCTGATGTATCATGGAAAGATAAGCCACAGAGAGATATTTCTACTGCAAACAAAAACATGAGTACAGAATTGGTTATTTTTTATAATGTAACTATAGACTAAAACACCTTCTGTATGTGTATTGAGAACTATGTAGCATGTTGAGATGTTCAGGTAAAAAAATGCATCTGGAAATTGAAATTAAAATAATGGTAAAATTTCATGATACTTTCTCTCCCCCTCCTAGTACTGTCTTAAACAGATGTTTTTGAAGATAGAGCCCAAATTTTGAATTTTAAATGATGACCTAATTTATTTAAGTTTAATGGGGCTATAACCACCAAAAATAGGGAAATTACTGGCCTTGGCTTTTCCCTCTAGCAATGGTGCTACATGGAAAAATGTCTGGAAATAAATGTCCAAGATGTGGAGATCTTGAAGTGAATGAACTGTCTGATCAATCCATTCCCTAGACTTTATCTCATGATGGAAAATGCAACATCAATCAGAGAGATGCATGATGGGAGTTGGGATAGCAGATATGGGGCTGGCCCTAACTTCGGATGCAGGGGACCTGATTTTTTATTCTGACCCCGCCACTAACAAGCCGAGGTGAGTGAGCCTGGTTGTGGTGGGGAAGAGTTATCACATAGAAATGTAGGGAAGGAGGGGTGCCTGGTTGGCTCATTCAGTAAAACATGTGACTCTTGATCTTGGGGTTGTAAGTTTGAGTCCCACACTGGGTGTAGAGAATACTCAAAAATAAAATCAAGAAAGAAAGAAAAGAAAAGAAAAGAAAAGAAAAGAAAAGAAAAGAAAAGAAAAGAAAAGAAAAGAAAAGAAAAGAAAAGAAAAGAAAAGAAAAAAGAAAGGAAGAAGAGAAAAGAAAAGAAAAAGAAAGAGAGAAAGAAAAGAAAAGGAAAGAAAGCAAGCAAGCAAGCAAGCAGGCAATACATTTTCCTCTCTGGGCCTCAATTTCATCCACAACAACAAGTGACAGACTAGTCCCAGTAAGAATCATTTAGCTCTTACACTGTGTGATGCCAGGACACCTCTGCCCTCTAATTCACGTCTTCCAGATTCTTTTACCCAAAGATAAGTCTACAATGGCAACTGGAAACATGTGGGAGCAGATCTCACTCTCTGTTTGGCTTATTATACACATTCAGACAGCATATGGAGCCCTGCCTCCATGGACGCCATGGGTTGTTGGCATGGCTTCCCGAGCTTCATGACCCCAAGTCTTAATCTCTGTGAAAAGTAAGAGCCAGGGAGGCCTTAAATAAAAGGCTCCCACTGCTGAGATGCATCATCTGTCAGGCAGAGAGGTGTGTTGGCCTGATCAGGTTGGAACTGAACCATTGAAGATGCTTCAAAAGCCTGAGTCTGAACATGTAGTGTGTCCTGCTGCATCAAGTCCCTATCACCACTATCACATGCTAGGAATGGAAATGGTTTTACTAGATAGTCAAATCCACTTCTACCTGCCAGAGGAAAATAAACACAGGCTAAAAATTGATTTGGAAAATAACAATCACTGTTTTGTAACCTAAAGGCCTAATTAGAAGTTAAGGGAATTGCTGTTCCTTCCACGCACCCCATTCTCAGACAGTTGCAAGCCTGCTGAGCACCAACTGTGTTGAATTTCAATGTGTACCGTTTCTTGAAGCAATATCCTGCCAGGCTGGCCTATATGATAACAAAATCTCAAGTCTTGTTATTTAGAAGAACAAGGAACAGATTTCTGGGACATTCCCACTCTTCTAAAAGCTGCATAGACCAGTTGGAAAAATCTAAAACAGCAGCCAAGGGCAGAGAAGAGTTTAATTTCCACGCTGCCTCAGGCTTTTCGCCTCCCAGCCTAAGTGGCGCATGGAGGCCCACCTAAGGAAAAGTAACACAGAGCAAAGATAATGAGAGCTAGATGGAGGCCAAAGAACGGTGATTCCACCCATGGGTGGTTTTCTGTATTAAAATGCTGCCTGCCTTTATAAAAAGCTATGAGTTCTTTAATTTCTCACATAATTAATTCCTGCCAGCTGGTATGCAAAACAAAGACAAGATGGGGAACAGTATTATCATGATAGATAACTCTATATTAACACTCTTCCCTTAATACAGTCCAATTTACACAGTTTTCAAGTTAAGCAAACGATGTAGAACCAAGACACTCCTAAATATTAATTTGGCAGCTCTGCTCTGAAACTTACCACAGATTGTTAACTCTTTGGAGGGAGAAGTTTTTACGTGAGTGAAGTTCGGCATTTGCTTCAGGACTTTCTTGGTTTCAAATAGCACTTCTAAGACATAATGAGCATGAAGTATCTGTGAGGGGGAAGCAGAGGAAATACATATAATGAACTAGCAAGAAAGGCATGACTACGTAGAAAGCTGTAACAGTGGAGCATACGAGCCCATTTCAGGAAGCTGTATTGCAGGATAATGTCTAAACTATTCTCAGATAGATTATTCTAGCAATGTGTCTGGCATATAATAAGCCCTCACTAGAGATTTGTAAACTGAATGAATAAATGGTTCCTAGGACATTTATACTTTCCTGTTCTTAACTGATATCACCCATTCACAGAATGTCTCTGATAGATCCCAAGAGAAGTGATTGAGTTGTATGTGTGTGGGGGGGTACCTCCCTTGCCCCAGGGAAACATGCAGACAAAAATTAAAAATAAAAAAGAAGTAAGGAAAGGAGAAAGAGAGAGAAGGAGAGAGTCTGTGGAAGAGGAGCTGCTTTGCATTTGTTTGGGACATCCTGCCTCCTGGGATGGCAGCCAGGTGGTGGTGCTGGGTTCGCAGATCTCACAAGGCAGCCAGAGCAGCCCCAAGAAACCCCTGAGCCAAGAATCCCAGGTGGCTCAATGTTGGGTGCACAGACGTGAGAGTATACAGAACAGCAAGTACATTTATATACTGGTCTAAATATAAAACATATTCCAAACCCAAATAAATCATTTGCATTACCTCCTATTACGACTATCCATCCAATTGCCCTCCTCCAGTTAGCGTTGATGACGTCATTGTTTTGGACAGATTTATTCCACTTTCTCTGCTGGGCTTTTGTTTGTTTTAAATCTAGTGTGTTATTCTTCAGTTTTAAAAAATTATAAAATACCCCAAATACATAATTCCCGAAGGAATATAGCCAATACAAATGTAACGGATGCTACCAGCACTTCATGGGTCAGGACTATTTCCACCACCTGAAATGGGGCTAGCCAAAATCAAGATGTGCTGTAAGTGCAAAATACACACTGGATTTCAAAGACTCGGTATATGAAAAAGAAAAAGTAAAATGTCTCATTAAAAACTTTTAACAGAGGGGGGGCACTTGATGGGATGAGCACTGGGTGTTATGCTATATGTTGGCAAATTGAACTTCAATTAAAAAAATTAAAAAATAAACAAATAATAAAACAAAATAAAAACTTTTTTTAATTTACCCATTCCACAATTTTTATTTTTTTTTATTTTTTTAAATTTTTTATTGGTGTTCAATTTGCCAACATATAGAATAACACCCAGTACTCATCCCATCAAGTGCCCCCCTCAGTGCCTGTCACCCAGTCACCTCCACCCCCCACCCACCTCCCTTTCTACCACCCCTTGTTCGTTCCCCAGAGTTAGGAGTCTCTCATGCTCTGTCTCCCTTTCTGATATTTCCCGCTCATTTTTTCTCCTTTCCCCTTTATTCCCTTTCACTATTTTTTATATTCCCCAAATGAATGAGACCATATAATGTTTGTCCTCCGATTGACTTATTTCACTCAGCATAATATCCTCCAGTTCCATCCATGTGGAAGCAAATGGTGGGTATTTGTCATTTCTAATGGCTGAGTAATATTCCATTGTATACATAAACTCATTAAAAACTTTTAACGGAGGGGGGCACTTGATGGGATGAGCACTGGGTGTTATGCTATATGTTGAACTCCAATAAAAAAAGTTTAAAAATAAATAAATAAATAAATAAATAAATAAAATAAAAACTTTTAACAGGAGTATATATTAAAATGATAATTTCATACATTGGATTAAATACAGTATTAAAATGATTTTTATCTTTTACATTTTTAAAAGTTTATTTATTTTAGTAATCTTTATACCCAATATGTTTTCAATTTTTTAATGTGATGACTAGACCATTTTTAATTATGTTTGTGACTCATATTATATTTCTATTGGATACTACTGGTTTAGATTATTAAAGGCCGAGAGGGGTCATTTCTATACATTGTTCAGATACTGTTTTGATTATGGGTTTCAGGAAAGATAGAATTCTTTGTTCCTTTGGCACAATCCTGTCTCATGGTGTCTTAAAATTTCTATTTGCATAGCTATTAAAATAATAAAACTATTTTCTATCCCAGATTCCCAAAATATGATTTAAGTTTGGAGAATTTTCATGATTAAATATACCTTTTTTTGAGAGAGAGATAGAGAGCAGGGGTAGGAGCAGAGGGAAAGGGAGAGAGAATCTTAAGCAGAATACATGAGTATCAGTACTTGCTTACAATGCTGTCTTTCAATAGCATTATAATTGTTTTTATAGTTACAATATTAAATACTCAAAAAAGTTAACTTAGATGTTGGTTTCTACATTTATAGAGATGGTCAGAGTAAATAGCAACTTAAATAAAATATTCATATTCTTTTAAAGCCAATGAGGAAGGAAAATACTACTTTTAAAGGATATTTCTTTTTATGAAGTAACAAGTTTTCAAATGGAAAAAAATCTCATTTTTTAGTTGAATAAAAAGCTAAATAGTAAAAAGGAGTATAAGTGAAAAGCAATTTTCCTTCTTCCCCACTCAGTCCCTGTCCCCAGAAACACCCACTGTTAAGGGTGTCTTCATTATCTTTCCACATATTCTATGCGTTGGCAGCATATAAAAATTAATATAACCACATATGAATATGTAATATTAATATATATTCTATTCTATAAACATATAATCCCTTAAACAAAATGTGGGATATATTCATACAAAGGAATGTTATTCAACTAAAAGTAGAAATGAAATACTGACATATGCTAAAACATGGATGAACCTTGAATACATTTTGCCAAGCAAAAGCCAGACACCAAAGGTCACATACTTTAGGATTACATTTATATGAAATGTCCAGATTAGAGAAATTTGTAGAGACAGAAGGCAAATTAGTGGTTGCAAGGGGCTGGGGAGAAGGGGCAATGGGGAGTGACTGCTTGATGAGTACAGGGTTTTGTTTTGGGGTGATGAAATGTTCCGGAATTAGATAGTGGTGATGATAGCACAACATTTTGAATATAGTAACACCTGCTAAATCATACACTTTAAAATGATCTATTTATGTTTACATGATCTATTTTATGTGAATTTATCTTAACTTTTAAAAATCAAAATATATAAATACTTTTTTTTTTTTTTTTTACAAATGGGAACACACTGCACTCTCTGTTGAGCCTGTCTTCCCCTAACAGCATAATTTTCTCATTTTTGTAAAGTCAGAATTATGATCTTTTCTGTTACGGCTCCTTGGATATTTGTCATATCTCTTCTCTCTCTTTGAACATATTAAGCATACTTATAAACTCTGAATCTGATAATGCCATTGTCAAAATATTGGTCTGTTATTTATTGGTTGCCTCAGTTTTCTGTCATGAATCTTATATCTTCCTAAGCTTGGTTAATATTTGTATTAAGTTCTGGACATTGTACATAACAACTTGAAGAAATAATTTGAGGCCTATCTTCTTCCAGAAAGGATTTACCTTTTCATTTGGCAGGTGGCTAGAAATACCAGCTATCTAGGATAATCTCAATTCAATTTCAGGAATTAGATGATTCCAAGCTTTGATTCAATCCCTACAGAGACAGTCTACTTCTAGCTCACTCTTACTCCTAGGGTATGCCCTTAGGGTCCTAACCTGAAAATGAGGGTTTGGGGGTAATGTCAGAGAAAATAATGGAATAGGTAGCTCACAGGTCCTATCCCTCCACAGAAACACTGAAAACTCAAGCAAAGAAACTGTCAAAATCAACTTTCACAGAACTTTGGAAAGTAAAGTTCACAGCAACCAAGCAATGGCTGAATCAAGAAAAAGGCAACTTAAAAATGGCTCAGTGCAAGCAGAGAATAAAGGCTAAAATAGGTTTGTAAACAGCCTAGCTAAGCAGTGAAGTGTACCAACACAGAGCCCATCTGCAAAGACAAGGCTTGTCTTTGCTTTGCATTGCTTCTGTCTCTGTCTCACTCTCTATTTCATTCTCTCTCTCTCTAGCTCCTGGTGTTCAAGGAAATCTCTGTAAAACACTAGTTGAATGCAAACTAAAAGAACAGAGACTTCAGAGACCTCACACACAACTAGACCTAGCATACATCTATAGAACACTCCACCCAACAACATCAGGCTACACATTTTTTTAACAAGAGCATAAGGAACACTCTCCAGGATAGACCAGATGTTAGGCCACAAAATAAGCTTCAATAAATTCAAAAAGATTGTAATCATGCAAAGTATCTTATCTGATCACAATGGAATGAAGCTTGAAATCAATAACAGAATGACAACTGAAAAATTCACAAATATGTAGAAATTAAACAACATAATAGGTCAAAGAAGAAATCACAAAGGAAATTAGAAGCCACTTTGAGATGAATGAAAATGAAAACGTTACACACAAAAATATATGGGATGGAGATCCCTGGGTGGCTCAGCAGTTTGGTGCCTTTGGCCCAGGGTGTGATCCTGGAGACCCGTGATTGAGTCCCACATTGGGTTCCCTGCATGGGGCCTGCTTCTCCCTTTGCCTGTGTCTTTACTTCTCTCTGTGTGTGTGTCTCTCATGAATAAATAAATAAAATATTAAATATATATATATATGGGATGTAGCAAAAGCAATGCTCAGAGAGAAATTTATAATTGCAAATGCCTACATTAAAAAGAAGAAAGATCTCAAATGAAAAGCCTAACTTGACACCAAGGAACTAGAAAAAGAACAAACTAAGCCAAAAACTAGCAGCAGAAGAAAAAGGACTAGAGTTCAGATAAATGAAATAGACAACAGAAAAACAAGAGATAAAATTAGCAAAACTCAAAATTGATTCTTTGAAAATATTAACAAAGTTGACAAACCTTTAGCTAGACTGACAAAGAAAAACAAAGAAAATGCAAATAACTATAATCAGAACTAAAAGTGGGACATTACCACCAATCTTAAAGAAATAAAAATAATTATAAGAGAATATTATGAATAATTATACATTAACAAATTAGATAATTTAGATGAAATAGACAAATTCCTGGAAACATACAAATTCCCAAAACTGATTCAGGAAGAAATAGAAAATCTGAATAGGGGGATCCCTAGGTGGCTCAACGGTTTGGCACCTGCCTTTGGCCCAGGGTGTGATCCTGGAGTCCTGGGATCGAGTCCCACATTGGGCTCCCTGCATGGGGCCTGCTTCTCCCTCTGCCTGTGTCTCTGCCTCTCTCTCTCTCCTCTCTCTCTCTCTCTCTCTCTCTGTGTGTGTGTGTCTCATGAATAAATAAATAAAATCTTAAAAAAAAAGAAAATCTGAATAGATCTAAGACAAGTAGAGATTGAATCAGTAATCAAAAACCTCCTAACAAGGAAAACCCAAGACAGGCAACTTCACTGGTGAACTCTACTGAACATTTAAGGAATTAACACCAATCCTTCTTAAATTCTTCCAAAAAAGTGAAGAGGAAGAAACAATTCCTAACTCATTCTATGAAGCCGATATTACCCTAATACTAAAGTCAAAAAAAGACACCATAACAACATACACATCAATATCCCTTCTAAATAAAATGCAAAACAAAAAACAAAAACAACTTCAACAAAATATCAGCAAAAAAATCCAATAAAATTTTAAAAGAATCATAGACCATGACCCAGTGGGATTTATTCCAGGAATACAAGGTGGTTCGATGCACACAAAAAAATAATCAGTGTAATACACACATTAATAGAGTGAAGGAAAAAATACACACAATCATTTCAATTGGTGTAAAAAAGTATTTGACAACATCTAACACCTTTTCATGATAGAACCACTCAGAAAACTAGGAATGGAAGAAAATGTCCTCAACATGATGAAGGACATTGATAAAAAACCCACAACTAACATCAAACTCAATGGTGAAAGACTGAAAGCTTTCCCACCTAAGATCAAGAACAAGACAAGCATGACAAGCCCTCACCACTGCTATTCAACATTGTACTGGAAATTCTAGCCAGGGTAATTAGGCAAGAAAAAGAAATAAGAGGCATCTAAATAAAAAAGGAAAAAATAAAACTATCTCTATTCCCAGACGACATGATCCTATATATAGATTGTCTCAAAATACACACACTACTAAAGCTAAGAAATGAATTCAGCAAAGTGGCAGAGTAAAAGCTCAATCCATAAAAATCAATTGTCCTTTTATACACCAATAATGAGCAATCCAAAAGGGAATTAAGAAAGCAATCCCTTTTACAATGGCAATCAAGAGAATAAAATACCAAGGAATAAATTTAAGGTAGTAAAAGACTTGTGCACTGAAAATTAGAAAACATTGCTGAAAGAAATCAAAGAAGACCTAAATAAATGAAAGATATACTGTGTTTATGAATTGGAAGGCTTAATATTGTCAAGATGGTAATACTATCCAAAGTGATCTACAGATTCAATACAATCCATACCAAAATCCCAATGGGCTTTTTTACAGAAATGGAAATGTCAATCCTTAAATTCATTGCAAGGGGAACCCAAATATCAAAACGACATTGAAAAAGAAGAGCTAAATTGAAGAATTTATGCTTCCTGATTTCAAAACTTAACTACAAAGCTATAGTAATTAAGACAATGTAATGACATAAGGATAGACACATATACAAATGAAGAGAACTGGGAGTCCAGACATAAATTAATACATCTATGGCCTATGGCCTATTAGTTTTCAGCATGGGTCTCAAGACCATTCAATGGGGGAAAGAACGGACTCTTAACAGAAGGTGTTAGGACAACTGCATATCCACATGCAAAGAACAAAGTTGGACCTCTACCTCATACCATATACAGAAAGTAACTGAAAATGGTTCATGGAACTAAATTTAAGAGTTAAAACCATAAAATTCTTAAAAGGAACTATAAGGAGTAAATCTTCATGATCTTGGATTTGGCAATGGATTCTTAGATAAAACACAAAAACACAAGCAATCAAAGAAAAAAATAGATACTTTGGACTTCATCAACATTAGAAACTTTTGTGAATCAAAGGGCATTATCAAGAAAGTAGAAAGAACCTACAGAATGAAAAAAATTTTTCAAATCATACATTGGAGGGGTGCCTGGGTGGCTCAGTTGGTTAAGCGTCAGACTCTTAGTTTCCGCTTAGGTCATGGTCTCAGGGCCGGGGGATCAAGGCCTGCATCACTGAGCTTCCTGGTCAGCGGGGAGTCTGCTAGAGATTCTCTCTCTCCCTTTCCCTCTGTCCCTCCACCCCACAGTTTCTCTCTCTCAAATAAATAAATAAATAAATAAATAAATCCTTTAAAAAAATCATATATCTGATAAGAGATTTATATCCAGAATATATAAAGAACTCTTACAACTCAATAATAAAAAGACAAATAACCTTATTTCAAAATGGGCAAAGCATCTAAGTAGATATTTCTCCAAAGAATGTGTACAAATGGCCAGTAAACATGGTATAGATGTTCAACATCTTCAGTCATTAGGGAAATGCAAATCAAAACCACAATGAGGTATCACTTCACATGCAACTAGGATGGCTATAATAAAAATACAATTACAAAGAATAAACAAAAGCAAATAACAAGTGTTGACAAAAAAATGTGAAGAAATTGGAACCCTCCTGCATTGCTGGTGGGAAGGTAAAGAGGCACAGCCACTGTGGAAAACAGTTTAGCAGCCCCTCAAAAAGTTAAGCAGAGTGACCATATGACCCAGCAGTTCCACTCCTAGGTATATATACTCAAGAGAACTGAGAACACATTCATACAAAAACCTGTATGTGAATGTTTATAGAAGCATTGTTCATGATAGCCCAAAGGTAGAAAAAAATCCAAATGTCCATCCACTGATGAATGAATAAACAAATGTGGTATATCCATATAACAGAATATTAGTCAGTCATACCAATAAAGGAGCAATGAAACATGTTATGACATGAATGTACCTTAACAACATTATGCTAAGTGAAAAAGCCAGATACAAGAGGCTACATATTATAGAAATCTATACATGAAATGCCCAAAATAGACAAATCTGTAGAGACAGAAAGTAGAATAATGGGTGCCAGTGGGGAGGGAAGAGGGAATGGTAATGGAATTTCTTTTGGGGATGATGAAAATGTTTTGGAGTTAGTCCTGGTGATAGTTGCACAATTTTGTGACTGTGCTAAAAACCACTGAACTGTACACTTTCTATTTATTTTTCATTGGAGAATTGTTGACACACAATGTTACATTAGTTTGAGGTATACAACACAGTGATTTGACAACTCTGTATGTTACGCTGTATGCTGTGCTCAGCCGCAAGTATAGCTACCTACAGTCTGCCACCATACAACGCCACCACAGTATTCTCGACTATATTCCCTATGCCGTAGCTTTAATCTTGATGACTTATTCACTCTATAACTGGAAGCCGGATCTCCTACTCCCTTTCACCCACTTTGCCCATCCCCCCCACCCTTAAATCATTCACTTGAAAATGATGAATTTTACAATATGTGAATTATATCTCAGAAAACGGAAAAGGAAATGCATAAGCCTATATATAGACAGGAAGTTGTTGTGCATCTGAGGAGACTTCTATTTAATAGGTTAAGGAAAGCAAAGGGTAGCTCTCACTTATTATGAAGCTTTTCCCCAAAGGAATGCATTTCTGCTATAGTATTTTTCATCCATTCATTCAACAGATAGTTACCGAGCACATGCTATGTACAAGAATCAGGGCAGTATCTGCTTTCACTTGCCTGTTGTTGCTTGAAGGCCTCAACAAGTAAATCAATATCAGTAAAAGTGAGAGGAAATTGCAGCCGAGGACCATGATAGGAGTCTGGGACGTCTATGCGTGAGACATAGTCCTGTCTATCCTTGTAGTCCTGGAGGGTGCTACCAAAAAGTCGAGCAACTAATTCTGGAAAAGGAAAGACAGAAAGGGTGGGGGAATCAACATTCCCATACTTAAAATTCAATAAATATCTTCTTGAATATTGAGCCAATGTAAGGCAGTGTGCTACAGGTATTATGAATATCAAGATATCCCACATTTAATCACGAGGAAGGATTTGTTCTCAGATCATTAGGTACATTCACATGAATCACCCTCATCCCTTCCCGAGTGGACATTGCACCAAAGCAGTAAGTTCATTGGTGGGGAGGAGGAGAAACTCAGGGAAAACTGGTCATTCAAGGTACTATGATGCTCTGAATCTCTACCTCTACATTTTTTGCCTACTCTTACATTGCAGATTTTTACAAATAGGGCTGAAAACATAATAATGTATTGTATTTGATTCAAACATCTGTGCTATTCAGGATCTACAGAAAATTAAACTGCAGCATTCAATTTTTCCCGTTAAGCACTTCAAATTTTACTTAGCTATAATAGATTTGTTTCTCTCTTCACATAGAAACAGATTTTCTGACATGATTTTCTTTTTCTTCTTGATAACAAAGCAGATAAAGTTAGATGATGAACCACAGGCAGAAATACCCACAGGGCCTCTCTCTGAGAGAAATATTTCTATGTAACAGATTGCCTGCACTGCCCATTTCAGTAGGTGCTGAGGCCCAGGGTCCCTTTCTTGCTAGGCCACCTATCAAACAGTCAGGCCAAGAACAGAAATCTGGCCAATGTCGGTGGAGAAAGATGAAAGGGGATATGGTAGACTGATTGCAAAAGTGACCCCAATTGTCTATCCCAACCTCTAGCCTGGCTCTTGTCAAGATTCTATTTCCCCAGGCTTCAAATCTGGGTTGTTGGGTTCATGATTTGTGTTAGCCTAAAGAATGTGGTAGAAGTGTTATGTACCATTTCTAAGCCAAGACCTTAGAAGGCCTTGTATGCTTCCATGCTTTCTCTTTTGGACCTATATTACTGCCACAAAGCCCAGGCTAGCCTAATGAAAGCTTCAAGACTACGGAGAACAAAACTGAGTCACCCCAGCCAAGGCCATCCTAGATCAGCCATCAGCCAGCAGACCTCCAAACACATGAGTGAACTATCACCAAGACCTGAGAAAAACTGCCAAATCAAGCCTGCCAAGATCAGCAGAAACACTCGGATAACCTGTAGACTTGTGGGAAGAATAAGTGTTTATTACATGCCACTGAGCTATTGTGGTTGTTTAACACACAGTGTTATTTCGTTAAGAGATAACAGATACAGAGGATGATGATGTATTCTTCAACTCATTAACACTGAATGCTACCAAGCCAATGGGAATCAGAAGTTCTCTGCAAGCTGTTTCTATATTTTTGAATATTTAGAATGGACATGTTTAGAAAGTATGGCGTCAGCAGATGCAGATAGAATACATTTCTTTTCATGATCCAGTTATGCTGAGAGATTCCAGTTAAGAACTAAACTTGAAAAAAAACACTTTATTTTTTCAAAAAAATATATATGTCGGGCAGCCCGGGTGGCTCAGTGGTTTAGCGCCGCCTTTAGCCCAGGGCCTGATCCTGGAGACCTGGGATCGAATCCCACATCAGGCTCTCTGCATGGAGCCCGCTTCTCCCTTTGCCTGTGTCTCTGCCTCTCTCTCTCTCTCTCCCTGTATCTCTCATGAATAAAAAAAAAATATTTAAAAAAATATATATGTGTCATAATATTTGATAATTTAAAAATGCTTTCTAAATTATTGGGTGCCCCAATATTTCTTTGGTGGTGGTTGATGATGTTTTACAAGAAGTTAAATTTAGGAATAATAATGTATGTCTTCAGTGTGGTCCAGCACAGTGTATTTTATTCATTTGGATTTGGTTTGAGATTTAAGAATAACTTAATTATTCCCTGTAATGTTTGAAAACTAGAAATGCAGAGCAGCTTGGTAAATTTTATCTCAGATTCCATTGTGCAAGCAATAAAGCCTAAATACTCTACCTATCTTAATGATCGTACCATTTCGCTCATAGAGATACATCTTCCTGACTCTATACATTTTAATATGGAGCTCCTCTTGAGAAAACAACAATAACAACAAAGAAACACAAAAAAACCCCACCGGTCTCACTATACCATGTTATAACTGACTCACTGAGTAATTCCTACTGAAAGGTACAAGCATGAAATGATTTTCTTTTCCCAATCATGGCCTTCACCTATGCTCTGTCCACTCTCCCTTTCTCATCAGCTCACACATCAATTCCAATTGTGCAATCTTGTTTTTTAAGAAGAAAATTAAAATATTGTTTTTCTTCTTTAAAACAAACCAAAAAAGCTTAGTCTGGCCCTTCTTTCCATATGTTTGTTGACCTTCATTTCTTATAAGTTCCGTGATAAATACATGAAAAAGCATCGTTTCCCTAAGCCAATTCCTAGTCAAAACTACTCAATATGAAATATCAGTAAACATCAAATCATAATCCTTTTGCTGACTTTTAGCCACATTAAAAGAAATAACATAGATTCTCTTCCTAATATGGGTAGCTAATGTGAGTCATGTATGAAAACAATCAAAAGCTGTAGCAGTTCAAACCCAAGTAGTGTGGGCTGTAACTATTATAACTATAAGAATAATTTAATGAATGCCAACAATATATAAAGATTTGTGCAACATGTAATTTGAATGAATCTTTACCTATTTGATTTACAATTCTCTCAATACCAATCTAAACTAATTAAGTATAATGAAATCTTGAATTATAATCAAATGATACCACCTTTACAAGTTGTTCTAAAGAAAATATCTCAAAACTACCCCCCATATATAATCTTTTCTTTTGCCCAGTACAAACTCAAAATCTGGACAGGGAAAATGTTAAAGCCCATAATTAAAAAAAAAAACAAAACACGTGCACACACATACACAATTTCTGTCTCTACCACCCACATGTCACTTTGAAAACAAGCTCCAAATATGGCTAGGAAAAGAAAAGCACCAATTGAACTGCATTTTATAGTTATTTCGTTTCTCAGTTATGAATCTGGATTAAAATTATGAGTGTCCAGGGACGCCTGAGTGGCTCAGCAGTTGAGCACCTGCCTTTGACTCAGAGCATGATCCCGCATTCGGGTCCCGCGTTGGGCTCCTTGCATGGAGCCTGCCTCTCCCTCTGCCTGTGTTTCTGCCAATCTCTCTGTGTCTCTCATGAATAAATAAATAAAATCTTTTTTAAAAAATTGAGTGTCCATATAATAAACTCAATAAATGGCAAAATGACATTTCATAAAATTTAACACCTATTTTCTTTAAAAAAAAAAAAAACTCAGAAAACTAGAAACAAAAGCCTACCTCCTGAACAGAATTATAAAAATTTAAATCAACAAGAATGGTTTTTCCATTAAAGCATTAACAAAACAGGATGCCTACTTTTACTGCTTCATTTTAACATTGTTCTGCTATTTCCAGCCAACGCAACAAAACACAAACCCAAAATAAGAGCAGTGGCTATTGCATAGAAAGATATAAAAATAAAGTTGCCTGTGGCCAGTGTGATTAAATATCCATCCTCAAGAAAATCAACTGAGAAACTCCCAGAACTGATAGGAGAATTCAGTACTGCAGAGGTTAAGCACACTTGTTCAAAACACAGCTTTACCACTGCTGAGATGAATAACCTTAGAAGGTCACCTTCTAAGCCTCAATATTCTCATCCAAAAAAAGGGGATGATAATAATACTAATCTCAGTGGTCTGTCATGAAGACCAAATGAAATATTTAAAGCACTTAAAAGACATGGCACATGGTAAACATTTAATAAATATTGGCAATAAGAATAAAAAAAATCATTAATGCTATCTTTCAATAGTAGCACAATACAAATAGGTATAAAACAAAAGTTTGTTAAATACTACCAATAATCACTGGGAAGATATAATGGGGAAAATAAACTATTGACCATAGCCACAAAAAAATAGACAATATCTGGGTCTGATAGGACACTTTGGCTGATCTGGGAAGCAGAAAGAAGAGTCAAAACAACACTGGCACACACTCCATCCCACTCCCCATTTCCATCAGTCTCTGTGTAAACCTATTGCTATGTACAGCAGCTTTGGTTTTCCACCTATGGGATGGATGTGTGGTCTCCCCATCAAGTCTTATGAACTGGTTTGAGAAACTAAGTAGTAGGACATGGAAATGAATGGCTTCCAGGTCACCTCCCACCTATGGAACACCCAGAATATCTCAACTAACCCTGTGCCTCAGATCATTAATCTGGTGCTGATATCTGGAAATGTTAAGTGATCTTCTGGTCCCTAAAAATAACCTGTTTAGGAGTCATAGCACTTCAGCCAAACAGGCCGAGTTGGAGGTTATGTAGAACCTTCCCACCAAAGAGGGCCATCAGAAAGCAATCTATAGTAATGTACAGCATGGTGACCCTAGTTAAGACTACTCTTGTTGTATGCTTAAAAGTTGCTAAGAGAGTACATTTTTAAAGTTCTCACCATGCGCAAAAGAATTGTAACTGTGAGGTGATGAATGTGTTAACTAGCCTTATTGTGATCATCATTTCATAATATATACATATATGAAATCACTGCATTGTATACCTTAAACTTCTACAATGTTAGATTCAACTATATTTTAATAAAGCTGGAAAACATTTTAGACAAAATCAACCTATAGAAGTAATCTGTAAGTTAATTTTTCTGTTACACACAATAGTCAATCAGTAAGATTCTAGAACTCTATAATTATATATAGAGATATATATATATAAGAGAATGCACAGCCTATAAATATGCCCTAGTACACATTTTTAAATGAATACATGATGAAGGAGGCATGACAAACCATAGCAAAAAGATACGTTATCAAATAAGCATTGTGGGAAAAGTTGGTTAGCTGCTTGGACATTTTCTTTTTGGCTGTGTTCTTTAATTGTTTTCAGCCACTAGGCATCAAAGTTTCCTTTTTTGGTTTAATATAAAAAATCCCAACCCAAACTTATGAAGTGTTAAATTTTTTAAAAGTCAAACCATAAAAAAAATCTAGAAATACAGGCACAGCGATCCACATTTTAAATATTTCAAAGCCTTCTAAGTTTACAAGCAGGGATTCACAAAGAAAAAGATATTTGGACTTGAAAGATATTTTAAATAATTAATGGGTAAAAACTTCCTATACCTGATGGAAAATATCAACCTAGATATCACAGAAGCTTAGCAAACCCCACACAGAATAAAATATAAATGAAGCATCATCAAGGCATATTATAGTTAAAGTCCTACTTTCTAGTGTTACTTAGGTTAGTTTGTTTCTTTCCTAACTCCATCAGGTGATCTTATTATTTGTAATACAGTTAAATTCATTTGTCACTGTGTGTACTCTATTTTGGAAACACAGACACACACATTCTTTCCTGTTTGTAATTATTTTTTTATGGATATGAAACATTATCACAGTTCTAAGAGTCAAAACTACAAAAAGGTACATTCAGAGGATGTTACTACCCCCTCAGCCCTCTACCCAACTCCGTTCTCCCATTCTTTCTCCCTTGTTCCCACCCATCCACTCATCCCCTGTAGGTAAACAAGATCATTTGTTTCTGGTTTGTTCTATTGGTTTCTCCTGTATTTATTTTTGCACAAACACACACACACACACACACACACACACACACACGCACATTCATATCAGGCAAAGACTTCTCAAAGAAGATGCAGAAAGTATTAACCATAAAGGGGAAAAATTGTATTATATTAAAATCAAGAATGGGCAGCCCCAGTGGCGCAGCGGTTTAGCGCCGCCTGCCGCCCAGGGTGTGATCCTGGAGTCCCGGGATTGAGTCCCACGTCGGGTTCCCTGCATGGAGCCTGTTTCTCCCTCTGCCTGTGTCTCTGCCTCTCTCTCTCTCTCTCTCTCTCTCTCTCTCTCTCTGTGTGTCTCAATAAATAAATAACCCTCCCTCTCTCTGTGTCTGTGTGTCTCAATAAATAAATAAAATCTTTAAAAAAATCAAGAATGTCTGCTATTATCAAAAGGCAGCATTTAACGATTAGGGAGATAAAAGCCAAAGACCAGAAGATATTTGCAATATGTTTATCTAACAGAGATTCATATTCTCATATTTAGAATACTTAGAGCACTTTGAAAAATTGATAAGAAAAAAGCAGCTAACCCAATAAAAGGATGGCAAGAGACCTGAATAGGACTTCACCAAACAGGATGTTGATGTGGCCACTAAAGAGACAAAAATGTAAGCAATTTCACTGCTCACCAGAGAAATACAAACTAAAGCAGAAATGTGATACTACTACATAACTGGCAGAATGGCTAAATGAAAAGGACTGACAACGCCAAGTGCTGAAGAGGACAGAGAATAACTGGCACTCTCATCCACTGAGGGCAGTGGTACAAACTTGGTACAACAATTTTGTAAGATGGATTATCAGCATCTAATAAAGCTGAACATACACATACCCTGTAACCCAAAACATCCACTCTCGGGTCGTGGTACATCTTTATAATACTGGCCCTCAGTGAGTCATGCCCCCTTGTACCCACATCCCTTTACAATGTAACGTTGCTTCTCCTCCCTGCAAGAGATAGAGCTCTCCTAGCCCCTATGAATCTGTGGCTGCCCTTGTGACTTGCTCTGACCAGTAGAATATGGAGAACTGACTTTGTGTGAGTTCCAGAGCATAGGCCTTGTAGCTTCTGCCTTTGTTCTCTTGGGATCCAGGTACTATGTAAAGAAACCCAGGATATCCTACTAGACAGAGAGGCTGCATGAGGAAAATTGAGGTATCTCAGTTCAGAGCCAACACCAAAGTCCCAGACAGGTGAGTAAAACCATCTAGATCTCCCTACCCAGCCCAGCTAGGTTGAATGAGCCCAACGGACACCAGATGGAACAACGACAAGCCATCCCCACTAAGCCCAGTTCAAATGCCTGATCCACAGAATTATGAGCAAAAAAATGGTTGCTGTTTTTAAGCTACTAAATTTGGGGGGTTTGTTATACAGCAACAGGTAACCAGAAATGAGTATATAGCTAAAGAAAATGATATATCTGTTCACCAAAAAGGACATGTACAAGAATGCACATAGCAGTATCATTCAAATTACCCAAACTGAAAACAACTCAAATGTCCATAAACAGTAGAATGAATACATTTTGGTAAATGCATAAAATGGACCATTATTCCACAATAAGAATGACCGAATTTCAACACACGGATGACTCTCAAAATATGACATTGAGTAAAAGACAGACTCAACAGTGTGTGCTTTCATTTTAGAGTGAAGTTCAAAAACAAGCAAAACCAATCTAGGATGTAGAAGTCAGGAAAGTCATCACTGGGGGGGTTAGGAAGTGACTGGCAGGGGGTGGGGCACAGGAGATAGGCTTCAGTGGCTCTGATAACAGTTTTCTTTCTTGTTCTGGGTGTGGGTTACAAGGGTGTGCTTACTTCGAGAAAATGTATTGCATCCTATATTTGCAATTTGTGTGCCTTAATGTATGCTATACTTCAAGAAAAGTTTACATAAGAAGATTAAGTCACTGTCTCCTTCTTGGATAAATTTTTTTAATATTTCTAAATTACCTGCAGAATTTTTTGACATGTAGATTTTAAAAAATACAGAGCCTGAGTAAATATCTCTGGGCTGGAACCCTGCCATCTGTGGCTATGAATCTCCGTAAGTAGTTCTGATGCACAGCCCAGATCGAAATATTAGGTCATTAGCAAAAAGAGTGCTGCTTCATTTCATCATCATTATATTTCCTCTCAGAGATATTTTGCCAAAGAACATGAAGCGCAAACAACTATCTTCAAATTGCAATTATCTAAAAGAAAGAAAATGGCAAAATACCCACTTCCACCCACTCCCCACTCCTCAGGTTTGGCTATTCTACCGTTTAGAAAGCTTCTACAGATCATTAAATGCTTTAATTAGTTTCATACATATGCGCTCAGCTCAAAGCATGCCATTAAAACACCATTCTTTTGCCACTGTGAAGGGTGCTCGGGAGATGATTTAAAAGAAGCTCTTAGATGACATACACTTTTAATTAGAACAAAAAAATGGTTGGCCCAAGTTAAAGAAATAAGTTTTTAAGTCTAGCATCTACCTTGACAATAATGACAGTCATCTTGATTTTGCAGGAGAAATTCATGCCTTGGGAATAACTATAATTTAAAAATCATTTTGAACCGTACCTACATTGCCTGTCCCTGAAATGATTTGGTTAGTCATCTAAGAATGACCAAATAAATGATAAAAAGAGAGACAGACAGCTAGCTCTGCAGAAAACAGAGAACTGTGTTCAAGCCACCATTTCCCCCAGATTTGCTTCATGAGATACTCAAGATATTTTTCATCTCTCGGCATGAAAGTTTTGCCATAAAAAATAAGATCCTCTTCACTAAGCTACTATCATACATCAACAGATTATGGTTCAGAGAAGGTGCTCAGCAAATCAACCTTGAATGAAATCTAATTTGGCTTTTTGAAAGTGACAAAGTTAAATAGTCAAATTTAGTCGACAACAATCAGAGAAAAAAGCCACCTGATTTCACCAGTTGTTTGGTGTCACAAAGATGAGACAGGTGGACATCACTTTAATTTCTTACTGTTCTCCCATTCTTCAGAGTTGACATCCCTTGAGGAGGACAATTCAGTATTTAATGACTGCTTTTCAAAAGACTAAACATTTTTCTTACCTGGATCTTTCTTGTGTATTTGTGTGTAGTTTTCCAACATGAAGGAAAAGAAGTTGGAGAGCTGGACAAAATAAAAATACATTAGTCAATGAATGGACCCCCAAACAGCCATGGGGGTGGCAAATGCTCTTCCAGCTGCCCGAGATGCTAACGGGTCCCCCTCCCCTCTACAGCTAAAAAGTACTTATTTTCTACTAATAAGCATGAAAGCTGGATGTATACATCATTTTTGGAAGCTTGAAAAAAGTCTTCCTTGCCCATCTACATTTTCTTCTAGAATTCTTACAGGTTCGATCTAAGGAAAGTCTTTCATGTTTTAACTCCTTAAAATATTTTTTCCTTGATAAAGTAACAAATTTACTTCCTACTGGGGCACATGCCCAAGAACAGAAGAAGACCATTTTGTGTTAGTTAACTAGACATCTGGCAGCCCTCTTCAAAATGTGAATGTCAGGATTGAAAAATACCATCCTCTTCCCAAATCATACTCTCCGCAGCTAGTTCCGAGACAATATCACCCTCTGTTAAAGCTTTCACCAAGGTTCCTCAGCTTAAAATGGACCCAAACTTTCCTTTTCTCGATCATGAGGGGTAAAGAGAAGCATTTTACCCAAAAGGAGATGAACTGGCAAAACAGACCTGCAATTGGCCTTGTTCATCAGCATATTCGATAGACTGGAAGATGGTGAGGGCATAGCGTTGTCTGGCCTTCAACCGAGCACTGTAACCTCGGTACCAGTTCTGGATGACCAATGCGGCTTTTAGCGCTGCAGACACGTAGGATATGAAAATCAGAGGATACCAGTTACTATGCAGTTCTAGGACAGGGGCATAGGTGCTTCAGAAAAAAAATCAGTACACCTGGATTTCTAGGTTCTAAGAACACACACTGCAATGCGACTTACCTTTATGTTTTTGTAAAATGTCAAGTCTCAAATACCCAGAGAATAATGATGGCATAGCCATTAGGAGTAGAGTTTCTGGGGAGCGCCTGGGTGGCTCATTCAGTTGAGTGTCTGATTCTTGATTTGGGCTCAGGTCATGATCTCCAGGTCGTGGGATCAAGCCCCAAGTCATGTTCTGTACTCAGGGGGGTGTTTGCTTGGGATTCTCTCTCTCCATCTGTCCCTTCCTCTGCCCACCCACTTGTGCACACTATCTCTATCAAAAAAAAAAAAATAGTAGAGTTTTGGGACAAGAAGTTGTGAATTTGAATCCCAGATCTGCTAATTACTGTCTATGAGACTCTGGTAAGTTATTAGAACTCTCAGGACACCTGGGTGGCTCAGTGGTTGGGCATCTGCCTTTAGCTCAGGGTGTGATCCCGGGGTCCTGGGATCGAGTCCCACATCGGGCTCCCTGCAGGGAGCCTGTTTCTCCCTCTGCCTATGTCTCTGCCTATTTTTCTGAGTCTCTCATGAGTAAATAAAATCTTAAAAAAAAAAAGTTATTAAAACTCTCAAAGCTTCAGTTTCCTTACCTGTAAAATGGGGAAAATAACAGCACCTACCTCTGGCACTACTCAGGAATATTCATATTCTATGTATGCCCTGGGAAGTAGCCATTCCATTCTTCACTATATACTCCCAAAGCAATCCTATATACCCCTGTTTTGCTGCTTGTGGCAGTAGGGAATTTGACACCAACGCAGCCTGGCTGTGCATCGCTGGGAAGGAGAATGTGTAACTGTGGTGTGTGCACACCACTGGCTATTATGCCACAACTGGGAGCAATAGATTAAATAAACCCACAGCAACATGGGTGGGTCTTAAAAATATAGTGTTTCAGTTAGAACAGTTATTAAAAAGTCAGAGACAATGAAATATAACATATCATTTTATATAAACTTAAAACGCACATACACAAAACCAAAACATACATTCATAAGAATATATTCAAAGGAAAAGACACTAAACAACCAGATTGGTTATTTATGGGGTGTATGTGTGAATGAGTATAGGGTACAACAAGCAAATTAATTAGCTAACATAAGAAAGAGTCTCGCACAGACCAGTGATGACAAGGACAATGAATTACAAAGTAGGATTCACTCCAGCTTCTGTACCTGAGATTCAAGTGATACAAAACTGATGGATAAGCAAACACACCTCCCTCCTTCATAGCGTTACGATAAGGATTTAATGAGCTACTACAGGTGAAGAGTTTAGCCCCATGCCTGGTTAATAGATGGCTAAACAAAGGGCTACTATAGTGATAAGCATCGTCTCATTTGTGGATTATTCAGTACACTGACTCTCTTCTGGGGCTCTGAGCCTTTGAATCATCCTGTTGCTTCATGGCTTTGAAGAAAGCGATCAGGTGAGAGATAATGAGATTTAAAATATGGTCTCTTATGCCTTCCTCAAGTTTTAGAGCGAAGAGCAATCAACACCAGCTGGCTTCTTTTATTCATGCTATAATTTTTCCCAGTTAGCACATAAAAATTAAGAGTTGACTATAACAAGAACAATTTGAATTCTAAAAGCAGGATTCTAGCCTCCAGTCTCAGTATCCTTGGCTTAATACTGCTGTGGTACACTAGATATACTAGTCATCTGAGGGTATTTATTTATGTTTCTCCAACACTCTCTAGTTGGAGACACCCCTTTCATTATTCAGCTACCAGAAAACCCCAGGAAATAGACATAAGGTCAAGTATCATGATCATTATAGGGGAATGCCACAGGGAGAAGAAATATAGAGTGATTTGTTCAATATGGCAAAGCAAATGATTGGGAGGCTGGAAATCTCAGCTGTTCTCACCATATCATTATGGAGGGCTCACCTATCAGGTCCCTTCTATGGGACAGTCCCGGTCAGGATAAACCAACTCTCACCTCAGGGGCTCTCTCTGTTCCTCAAAGACAAAGGAACTGTCCCAGGGCTATTTACCGAGCACTTACTGAGGGCAGGGCCATGGATTCATTTCCTGCAGTCCTCACCCGCACCCTGAGGCTGAGACAGACTACTTAAGGTCACTCAGCCAGCAGATGGAAATGCACAGCACGGAACTGAAGCCAGGTCACACTGACCTGTAGCCCACGCTCTTAACCTCCCTAGAGCTACTGACCTTTTGCTGGGTCTCGGTTTCTGCATCTGCACAGTGATGTAGTAGGATAAATGATCACTAAAGTTTCTTCAGCTTGGGGTTAGCACCACAGATCATAAATAATCATGCTTACTATTTCTATAACTAATAGTGGGACAAAACAGCTACCATTTGATAAGGGGCTGCTATAAGATATTTAGCCCTCCCTCCACACACACACAAGTGTCATCTCCATGTTACACATAAGGAAACTTCAGGTTCAGAGAGGCAAATATCTTGCTTCAAGTCACTTACCTAGTAATATGGACTCAAGTCTTCTGAGTCTAGACTCTCAGCTCTCTCCACTATAGCCAGTTACTTCTTTCCCTAATCTATTTGTATCTTTCCTTCCTTTGAATAATAATAGCCACCATTTATGGAATGCCTACTATATGCCCGGCAGTAAAAGCTACACACATTACTTATACTATCACTTCTAGTCCTCCCCCATGAGGTGAAATAGGTGATCCAAGCCCCGTGTTCTATCTCTGCCTTGCTTCAGGCCAGTCCCTTGCCAAGGTCTCGGCACACTCCCCTGGGGAGGAGTTGCTGTTTTATTTGATAAGCACACAATACTTTCATAGACTATATTTTACTAGTAGGTGTGGAAGGCTGACAGCCATGCTCAGTTCCCTGGCTCTTGCATTGCTTCTTCTCCTGCAAAGGCAGTAAGCTGAGCCATCCCCTACCCTACCTACCCTTCTCTGCTCAGAAATCACCAGGCCTGTTTATGCTTGCTATCCTGTCCCAGAGCCTCTACACATGGGCACGAATGCCACTTATTAAGCTATCACATGTCAGCTGTCACCCCACACTTCTCTAGTGGGCTCGTAGATGCTGAGGCTGGGGCTCTGCAGGCCACATTTCTGATCAGCCGAGTGCTATGGGTTTGGCTCTGCCAACGGGTGCAGTAGAGGGAGATGGTGAGGCTGGAGGAGGATGAGAGACGTACTCCTCCTGTTCTTCTGAGAGTCTCCTGGCAATAGTTCCCCCCCACACACCCCTACCCCAGGGTCTCCCTGTAGATCCAGTCTGCAGTACACTGTGCTTACACAACCAGCCTTGGGGCTGCCCCTCAGAGACCCCAGCACCAGCTGGGCAGCCCCCACTTTCAAAGGCTTGAGTTTGACTTCTGCAGGAACCCTCCTCCGACTTTCTAAATGTTAATAATTCCAGTCTCTCCCCTTTGTTCTCTCAGCCCTAGAGATGGTAACTGGCCTACCTCCACGTGTCTTAGAGCTCCTTCAGAGACCTTTCTGCTACTGAGGAATGGCTTGATACCCAACTGACAGCTCTTTCCCTTCACTTCTCTCATCACATCCCTCTATGGTTTCTACCTCCGGAAGAGATCTTGCCTGACGAGCCAGTCTCAGTGGGTGGGAACAGCAGGCTCAGGTTAGGCCTCAAGCAGCCAACTGCCTGGACCCTCTGGCTCTGGCCCTTATCGGAATCCCACACAGGGATTTGGAGTACTTAGGCAGCAGCTGGCAAAATGGACTCTGATCTGCATCCTGCTATTGCTCCTTTGCTCTATGGTTGCCCCAACACCCTCTCCCAGCACAGGAAGGAGACCGGAAGGGCAGAGTGGAGTGTACCAACAGCAGACCTCTATGACCTCACCTGATTACTAAGAACTGCCCCCCACCTCACCACTGCCACCACACACAGCGGGGCCACTCTAGCCAGCTGAGGACTCTCCTCTGGAGCAGAAACCTCCAAAATGGCAAAGAGTAGAGCCCAGATAGGATAGACCCTCCCCGAGGGGCTGCTGTATCCATAACCCCCAACCCTGCCTATAGAGTTGAAGATCTGTGTCGTCCAGTTCTGAACTTGTTGGACAGCTTAGATCCGCTTCTGGTCCTGCTGCTTCATCACATAATAGGGCTTGTCTTCCCTGTCACATTAATTCCATGCAGAAAAAAAAAACACAAAAATAAAAGATAATTGCCATATGTGTCCCAAGGGCCTTCTATTTTTGTTTCTAGAAGGAAGCAACAACATAGGTTTAATGAGTTACCTGGCCAATTTCCTGTACCCAGCGCAGGTGGATTCTCTATTGCCAAGCTGAGGGTTTTTTTGGTTCTTGTTTTTTAATGGCTTCTTTTCTATGGTGGCAGTCATTATCATGGTATTTTACAGGTAGGAGGCCAATGAATAAGGCAAATCATAAATTCAGACACTTCCCAATGAAGTGTCATTACCCTTATTTAACAGATAAGGAGACTGACGTTCAGAAATAACTTGTTTGGAGTCACATCACTTGTCAGTGGGAGAATACAGAGTCAAATCTGGATTTCTGGAATTCCAGAAACTGGGCTTATACCATTATGCTGTACAACCCAGTGTGGCATTTGGAATCGGCCATAAAAAACGAGACAGTATATACAACAGTAATGTCCTCCTTCCCATAGCGTCCGTACCTCACATTCCCTATGCTCTTTACCTGTTCTGTTGTTCTCCATAGCACGTTTTACCAGCTGACATCCCATATACTCCTATGTTTATATGTTTATTGTCTATCTTCCCCTATTAGCTAAGCTACATGAGAATAGGGACTTTAATTTTGTTCACTGCAATATCCCCAGTACCTGAGATAAGGCCTGGCAATGGATACTTGTTGAACAAATGAATGCATATCTTCTAGGGCTGTTATAATAATAATGTATTAGTAAT